AAATATATAGAAATGAACTGAACACAGAGCATTCTGTCTATAGTTGATCATAATCTCACCTTTGATTTCGAAGAGAATATTTCTGGAAGAAACATTTCCGTCTGGATGTGATTTAATATCCAGGTTAATGATGATTTTTTCACCTCTTTTTTGCATTCTATAAAGCATATCCGCCTCCTCTAGTGTGATCGTTAGTGCTGGTATTTTTGATCCTGAAAACTCAAATCGTTATAAAATTTTATTGTTCCAATCATTATTTCAATCGTTGTCTCCTTGATGGAAGTTGTGGGACTTTCCAGAAACAATCTTGTTCAATAAACTGAAAAGTTTTCATACGGGAGTAAATGTTTGCATTTACATTTAAGATTTTGCCGTTATCAAGCTTCTTGACGAATAAATTTCGTTCTTTAATTTCAGCTTACGAACTACTAGAACACCTTCAAATGGCACAACAAATATCCTATCAAGGATCTAAAAATAAATAGTATTTCTTCGGAAAGAAAACCTCGAGCGCCACTGCCTGTATGAGGCAATGCTGGAGAGAAGGGAGTTATTGATTTGACGAGCACTCCGACGCCACCGTGTTCTTCGACAATTTTTGCCGACCGTCGGTACTTAACCGTTTTACCGTAACCTTTCCATTTTTGATCGAACACCACTATTTTACCAGTCACATTGATATGCTGCAAAAATGCATTCATCGAGTAATGGCGATTGTGTGCCTTCAACTCTGATTCATCAATTTTATTGATGCTTCAAGTGACGGCTAAAGTATCACTCATTCCAAAGTTTGAATTCAAATTTGTACATTGTAATTTTTCAATTATTTCGTCTCGAAGATGTAGTTTAAGTAATCATTGATTTTAATGAGAGGAAAATTAGTTAGTTATCTTGAAATGACTTTTGTCATATTTTGAGAAATTGATTGCACTAAAATACGCTTAAGTCCCATGTTCAAAATGAGGTATTGCGAAGAAAAGTGAAAGAAACCTTCAACTCATCGTAATGTTTCACTACAACAGCTTCTGCAGTTATGTTCGCTGGTGGGCAACCATCAATCGCCAGCGCGTTGAACTTTTGCAGGCGAGGTTCTGAACGAAGAGATTTTCAGATAATCTATCTCGAATAATCCGAATTCAGATAATCCGTATAATAATCCAGATAATCCCAACTTCTACCCCACATTCATGAACGGATTGGCAGTTAAACCAATGAAGATAACGAGTGTTGGCATCATCCTCAGTTAATGAATGAATACAATTGACAAATTCAAAAAATTTCTCCAGACATCTCCAAATTTTCCCGGTTCGAATTTAAAGAAAGCGAATATGCACAAAAGGAATAAAGCATGATGATGTTCAACTCGTGAAATTCCACATGGCGATTTGTCATTTAATAAAGATGTTCAATCTGAAAAACTAACTGATCATTTGTACGAGGTCATCGCCCCGCACCCACTTCGGTAAATCAGGCACCTCTTCAGTGTGCACGTTATCGAAGCCATCCTTTTTCAGGCCCTTTACCACATAGTCGATTGCCCTGAAGTGTTTTCAACTGTTTCATTCGAATTTCATGAACCAACCCTTCAAAACCTTTCAACTTTCTTGCATGGTTGCACATAGTGATGTCTCTATTCCAGTTAAATTGTTCTGTTCCTGTTCTGTTCCATGGTATAAAATGGAACAGTTCGTAAATGAGGAAAGAACAGTTTGGAACAGGATAGAGCCGTTTTTGAGCTCAAAAGAACAGAATAGAACAGTTTTCGGAAAAGTGGTATAGAGACATCACTAGTTACACTTCTCACGATGCTGTAATTAGTGAAAATCAATCATTTTACAGCTTCCACTCGATGAACTGAAGCTGAAGTCTGTTACCTGTCTCTCGAATGATCGATAACTCGAGATAAGGCTTTAGCTTCAGTTTTTAATGAGCAAGGCTGATCCAGAAGACATTCAATTGAATCAATGCGATAAATCAACGATTTAAATCGATCGACGATTTAAATCGATCAACGATTTAAATCGATCGATGATTTAAATCAACGATTTAAATCGATCGACTGTTAGATCAATGTTTTGATTAATTGTACCATCAGTAAGAATACCCCAGACAACAGCTGATCTCGAACCAAACTACGGTGACTCACCTATCCAAGCTTTCGCTGCCAAGATGTCGACTGCCGAATTTATCCACCAAAGTGCTCAACCATTCATAGGCCAATCCCGTGCCTTTTCCTTTGACAAAATAGTTGATTAGTTCATGAGAACTTCTATTGTACTGAAAATTTCACTTGGAAACGTTCAAATTCTTGTTGTAAGATTATTATTACTGTTCATTTACTGTTCATCACTGTAGAGATTACTATTCATTTCGAATGAACGATGCACTATATTGTGCCGGAACGAGCGTTTTAAAGATGTTCACCAAATTGTTGGCAGTCAACAACGGGAAAATGTGCATTTTTCAGTTGAGTTTTTTCGTTTTTCTTATTTTATCAACAAATCGCTTGGAGGAAGGAAGTGTTTCGGATAATCAGTTCATTTTTTAAAATTTTGATTTAGAGCATCGAATGATCCTATATTTATCGATCATAGGCTTTGATTAGTTGTGCGGTCATTACGGCAATCTATCAAATGCATTAGCACTGTATAGTTTTTTCGGTTTCAACGCAAGCAAGTCCTGTCTATTGGAAGGCTTAAGAAACAGAAATAGCAAATTCAATTTGTTTCAGTAGATTAAGTTAGAAAACTCTGGTAAATTAGCATCCAGGATTAAAATTCTGCTAGATCAGTAGCTGAATCAACGATCAATCGCATATTTCCTGTTGATGGCAAATCAGCAAAAGAAGCAATTTGAAGCAAATATGGAAACGGATCGGAAACGAACCTTCTGAATGATATCTTCATCAGCCTTTGATACCACAAATAAGGAAAGAACAACTATTAACTGATTGATTAACATATTCTCAGCATTCGAAACGAATAGTCTAGTAAAATATGAAATGAATATAATAAATTAAGGCAAATATCCGTCCTTGTTAGAGATCAATGAACCACTGGAATGGTTTTCGATCTGAAATGAAATTATTGAAGTTGAAGACGGTGGCATAAATTATAACGACTCCGAACAACGTTTCATTCCAGAATGTCTTCGCTTTATTCTATTCGAGCAGATAAAACAATTGATAGCAATTTTTCGCTGATAACATTAATGTTTTTGCTGGTGATTACAACAATAACTGCAAAAGATAAAATGATAATGATAAAATTAATCCGATTAGTGTTATTGTGTTTGTCATGAGAACATGACTCACGATCGTCTCACAGTATCTTGGAATTCAATTTATGTATTTATCATTAGCAATGCTATGATTAGCTTATTGTGAACTGGTACGCTGTTGTTATCATTCGCAGTATTGTTATGTCAAAGGTAAACATTTTTATCAGTAATAATTATAGCGAGTTTTTCGATAGCGTTTTGAATGGAGTATCCCTTATGCCTTTATAAATAAAATTGCTTGGTTATATTGTTAGATGATTCATTTTCCATTGCCTTTGTATCTTATCTAGACCAGTCAGTTTTTCAAAACCGACAATACAGCATCATGAACGTTTGAAAAACAATGAAGCTTGAGGAATTTGCTGCTTATATATGTCGGTTGCAATTGCCGTTAGTCATGATATTTCGCTATGATTCTGAGCTATAAATGCACCATGTAAGGCATAGTACAATGGTACAGTATGATACAGTACGGTACAGTTACGAAATGTGACTGAATCATTATCAATAGAACATCAAATGGAATCAAAAACGCTTGATCAAAGGCATGTGCATGGTGGCAAGCAAGAAAATAAGCTGGTAGAATATGGGAGATACGATCGATTAATAGAACATCTCTGATATCATCATGATATGAAATACTTATTTACTAAAAATAGTGAACAGTTGAGAAGGGGCTGCGCTACAGAGTCAATAAAATTGAATTATTTGCTATTTCTAAAAATTCCGGATTCGCTAGTTGAAGTACGACTGACCAAAATGCTGACAATGAAGTGCTATGGAAGCAAAAGTAAAGTCTGTGTTCGACACAGCAGAAGCTACTGTATGGAAGGAGAAAAGAATCATCGAGAGAACGCAGTGAAATTGTTTTGAGATCCATTATGGTTATATTTCATTAGATGAATTTTATGGTGTGAGATTGAATACAGGACGACGGTAACGTCAGCATTCTTTTGTGTTGATTTGATTTGTTTAGAAAAACAAATACATTCTATTCGATTTCAAATTTGTTATTGACATTGGAGCAGAGGAAAAGATGTTGATGAAGAGAATCGCTTG